AGGAGGCACGACCGGGGCCCAGGAGGGGCGCGACGGGGCCTAGTAGGCGCGGAAGGGCCTAGGAGGCGCGACGGGGCCTAGGAGGCGCGACGGGGACCCAAGAGGGGCGCGACGGGGCCTAGGAGGCGCGGCAGGCCTAGAGGCGCGACGGGACCTAGGAGGCGCGACGAGGGGCCCAGGAGGGGCGCGACAGGCTAGGAGTCGCGATAGGGGCCCAGGAGGGGCGCGACGGGGCCTAGGAGGGGGCGGCGCGACGGGGCCTAGGTGACAGCGCGACGGGGCCTAGGAGGCACGGGCGGAATTGGTAGGTGGGGGTCTAACCTACGGGTGATACCATGTTAGAAGAAAAAACTGAATTAGTGTTGAATAGTGAGAGAGAGAACAAGGGTATATACCTAAGAGTGTTGTACCCTCTAAGAGGTGACCCTATACAGTCTATACAAATATGAGTTATGCATATATTTGACAATGTTGTGGCTCTCATTTCCCTCCACGCCGTTTATGCAGGGCGGGATGCCTCCTGACAGTTTCTCAACTACCTAAGTGGAACTCGTGGGGCCAATGGCTCAATGCCTAAATCATGCCAAAATCATGCCTAAATCACTACAATGCCTAAATCATGCATGTGCCGGTGGTCGTCTTATTAACTAGATTTTGGGATGCAAACTGAGCACAAAGTACAAATGATGCAACTAATCAGCTATGCTTTAGCCCCCTCGGCATGATTCCGCGTGGTCGCAATGCAACGGATCTTCAAGCAACCACCTGGTTCCTCGGGTGCACGGAGGGGGTATGGGGCATTGCTGGCCAGCCCTGACTGCGGCAGCCATTTTCTTCTAGCCGGACCATCTCCACCTGACACGCATGCTGGGTGTCCCCTACATCTGCGTATTCTTGACCGATGGGGGTGAGTGTCTGCTGGCGAGTCCCCAGCAGTTGCAATGCAAGAAAGAAGGCGTTGCCAAAGGAGTATATGCTGGGATGCGTCCTTGTGGTGGTCCTGGAGCCCGACACTGGGAGCAAGGACGAGATGATGTGGAGACGTAGAAGAGGGGAGGGTGGGGGATGGGGGGCAGCAATGAGGGGGAGGTGGGTGGGGCTTTGTGGGATACTCGTGTCGCCTTTATCCCATAACCTTCAGTTATCACCCCATACCGTGACCCACATTGCTGCCCCTCTGTCCTTGTGCGCTAACCACCCTGCATTCCCCTCTTTCCCCGGTGCACTAACCCGCCTTGCTGCCCTCTGTCCCAGTGTGCTAACCACCCTGCCTTCCCCTCTCACCCCGGTCAGTAACCCCCCTTGCTGCCCCTCTCGCCCTGTGCACTAACCACCCTGCCTTCCCCTCTCACCCCATGCACCAACCCACCTTGCTGCCTCTCTCTCCCTGTGCGCTAATCACCATGAATTCCTCTCTCCCTCCGGTGCACTAACCCACCTTCCCGCCCCTCTGGCCCTATGCACTAACCACCCTGCCTTCCCCTCTCACCACATGCCGTAACTAGACATGAGCACGAGGCGAGTCGAGGATTCCTCGCCGATGAATTTCAACCATCGCTCCCCAAACGAGGCGAGGTGAGGATTCCTTGCCAAGGAATTTTAGGGGAAAAAAGTCCTCGTCCCTCGGGTTTAGGGGGCGAGGATTTTTTTCCTCGCCCCGAGGGAAAATTCCTCACTGGAGGCAATTTTGTTGGGAATTGGGCAGAAATGTACAAAACATCTAGAGGAACGACTGTTTCTGTACACCTTTGCTACCAAAGTCGCCCCCACCCCCGGGCAGCACTAATATTAACCCTATGGCTAGTCAAGTAGGGCATGTTATGCCATGCACAGCCCATGCTTTCTAATTTGTGCTTGACCAAACCTTAGTAGACTCCAACACTGAACGAAGATATGATGTCCACACATAAATAAACCGATGGCGATAAAGCTCATTGCTACGTCCATCGACTAGTCCCTAACACTGCCATCCAATCCAAGGCCACCATACAACAGCACAACATCCAACTCACAACCCCTCCTCAAGCTCCACTCCCAGCTCTGCCACCTCCTGGGCCCCCACACCGCCAAGCCGCTCGCCAGGGTGCGTCGCGATCCATGACTTGAGGGTCATGCATGCGTGAACGCGCTCCGCCCCAAGCCGATGCAGTTGCCAAGTGATAAGGTTGCGGCCGTACGAAAAGGCTCTCTCGCTGGCCGCCGAGGAGGGGGGGATGGCGAGGTAGTCCCTGGCCATCGCCTGCAAGCCAGGCAGGTCAACCCTGTGCCGCCAATACGCGAACGGCGAGGCGCGCAAAGGCTGGATCTCCTCATCTAGGTACACCTGGACCTCGTCCTTGAGCTCCAAGGACTGCTTGCTGCGGTAGGCAGCTAGGTGCCTCACCAGGCTGTCCTCCATGTCCCCCCCCCCAAAGGTGGCCTTCATTGCTGCATCGTCATCGTCGTCCACCTCCGCCCTGCCCCCTTCTCCCACCTCTCCTCCAAACCCCTCGGCCACCACCTGTGCCCCTCGAACCTTGTCCATGTAAGGCTGCCATGCCTTGCACACCAAGGCGACTACCGCACCGAGCTCCACCTGCTTGACCACTCGAGTAGACATGCCACCGTGCGGCTTGGCGAAGTAGCCGAGCTTGAATGAGGGGTAAAGGAATGTGGCGACACATAGCTCGTCGCTGCTGGAGGCAAAGTACTCCTCCAGCTTCGAGAGCGCTGCCTCGCAACACTTCTTGATGAAGGCGGAGGGGTGGGGGGAGCAGGCGGTCACGCAGGCGCTCGAGCGTGTCCATCGGCTCGTTAAACTTTGGCACCATGCGACTGACTGTGGGATAATGCCCCCCCTTGGCTGCGAGCATCACGGAATGGAACGGCTTGAGGAACACCGCCAGCTCCTCAAGCACTGACCACTACTCGGTCGTGATGCAAAGCTGCGCCTGGTGGGCCTCCTGCTGGTGGAGGCATGTGGAGTGGGGGCGTATGGGCAATTGTCAATAGACAGACAAGGGAGTGGGGGCGTGCGTGGCCAACAGTGCGTTCAGCTCGTTCAAGTACCAACAAGATGACGGACAGACCATACCAATGCAATATCTACAAAGCTAGAGACATGCTTACCGGGAAGCGTTGAGCGAAGGCGTCCAAGGCCTCGCGCAGGCACAGGGCGCGCGCAACCATGGTGTATGTAGAGCCCCATCGCACCTCCATGTCCTGCTTCAGCTTGATGGTAGGCCTGTCTGGATACTGGCGCCGCTGTTCATCCTTGAACAGCGGCATCTGCTTGGTAAAGAAGCCGATGAAGCTAGCAATCTCACGTAGCAATCCCAGGGGCAGCTTGCATGCCTCCATATTCTTCAACACTTGCTGCACTGCAAGATTGCCGATGTGTGCAAGGCAACTGAAAAGGGGGAGCAACACATGCGTAGGGTAAAGGTGGAGTGGGTTTAGGCGCATCAGGGGGAGGGGGGGCAGACAATACGAAGTGTCTGACTGTCAATGGCAAGGAAAGTGGCAAGCGTAGATAGAGAACACTGAGTATGGTGAGTGTCGAATCTCACCGGATGTGAAGTCCCGTCTTGAATAGAGGAGGAACACGCTAGCCAGCCTTGCCACTGGACAACCACCGCGTCGCTGCAGTGTTGGTCGGCGTTGTCCGTGGTCACTGCCATCAGTCGCCCCTCCAGTCCCCATTTGCGCTCTACAGCCTTCAGCACCTGTGAAATCAACTTGGCCGTGTGGCTGGGCGGCAGTGCAACGAACTCAAGCAGCCCCTGCCAGAGCTTGAACTCTGCCATGAGCCAACGGGCTGCAACGGCCATGTACCCACCACTGTTCTCCCCTCTCCAGATGTCAGTGGTCAGGCTGATCATCCCGACTCCCTTGGCCTCCACAATCTCCTCCTTCAATATCGCACGCGCAAGATCTGCAAGGCGGATGAAGTCGCGCCCAACAGTGTGCCGCCCCGGGATGACCTCGGGGTCGGCACAACGGGGGTTGGCAGCTGCCATCATGCGGCGGAACTGTGGAGAAGGGCGGTGCAAGGATACAGGGGCATGGTAGAGTATTTGAATTTCGGGCGTCGCAAGTAGCCATTGGGCACTTGGCCACAGTTAATGCACACAAGATGAAATATGTGCACGGCACATGACACATATCCGGCATGTGCAAAGGACGCGTTGAGTTGAGGGCTAAGTTATTACCGATGGGCAATCCGTGGTGCTGAAGGCTGAGTCTGAGTCGACGATGTACTCCACGATCGTCTGACATAGATAATCTTCATCCATGCATGCAGAGTAGTATTTCTTGATCCCCTTCCGTCCCCCTCTCCCCCGACCTCCGGCGGCGGATCCCCAGGCCACCAAGCCGAGTCTGGCCATACCGACTTCCCATCGGGCACCTCACCTGGCTCCCCAAAGCCCTTTTCGGGAAACACTTCATCCGGGCCGATTTCTTTAGCCTCCCACTTGCGCACCCATATGTCCCAATGCGCACGATGCTTGGTCCTCATGTGGTCACGCCCTGCAGTGGTAGAGCTCCCCTGCCAAGTGATGGGACAACTACACATCCTGCAGGGGCGCTTAATACCGAGCTCGGGGCGACGCTCGAAGCATCTCGCTGCCATCCCATCGTCCTTGACTGCCTTTCCCGACTTTGGCTTACCACTACACGCACCGCCCACCCCCTCCCCTGCAGCGCTCGCCCGCCCGCCAGCCCTCCCATCCCTAACGCGGGCACTCACCTGCCCGCCAGCCCCCCACCCCTAGCACGGCCACTCTCCTGCCCGCCAGCCACCCCACCCCAAGCACTAGTGCCCGGCCACCTGCCGGCACCCCCTCCACTAGCCTTGGCGGCACTTGCTTTCTGCCCCGCATTCACTTTGTCCTCTTACCACTTTTATGGCCCTCAAAATTTCCTTCCTCTTCATCCCCACCCCGTCCCCACCCTCATGCACCAAATCGGCCATATCCTCCTGCTCACGCTCCTCCGGTTCCCCTTTGGCCCCCTTGTACACCTCTTCCTCGCTTTCATCCCCGCTAATGCTCTCTCCCCCCATCACCATCCCCATCAGCAAGCACGTTATACTCCTCCTCCTCCTCTCCTCCTCCTCCTCCTCCTCCTCCTCCTCCTCCTCCTCCTCCTCCTCCTCCTCCTCCTCCTCCTCCTCCTCCTCCTCCTCCTCCTCCTCCTCCTCCTCCTTCTCCCCCCGTTCCCCCACCCGTCTCTCCTCGCCCCCTCCCCACTGCTCTCCCCCCCCCTCCCCTCCTCGTCGTCCTCCTCCTCCTCGTCCTCTTCCTCCTCCTCCTCCTCCTCCTCCTCCTCCTCCTCCTCCTCCTCCTCCTCCTCCTCCTCCTCCTCCTCCTCCTCCTCCTCCTCCTCCTCCTCCTCCTCCTCCTCTTCCTCTTCCTCCTCCTCCTCCTCCTCCTCCTCCTCCTCCTCCTCCTCCTCCTCCTCCTCCTCCTCCTCCTCCTCCTCCTCCTCCTCCTCCTCCCCCTTCTCAGCCTCTTCCTCCTCCTCCATGCCCCCCTCCCCCCCCTCCTCCTCCTCATCCTCTTCCTCCCCCTCCCCTCCTTTGCTGCCGATTCGTGCTGCGTCACCAACCCCCTCCCTGCACGCCCGCTGTTGGGAGGGGCAATGTTTGGCGCCACTAATCCCAGCACGCAACAGGCCACCACCCCTCCCCCCAGCCCCATCACGCGCGGCCTCTCGTGCCTTCTCAAGGTCGGCCTCAGCGGCAGCATCATCACCCACTGCTGCGTTGCTGTGGGTGCGGATCCCCTGTCATCCCCTCCCCCCTCTCCTTTTCTACCACCCCTCCCATCCCCTCCGCCGCGGGCACCAGGACCACGGCCCCTCTTCTTCCCCCTCCCTCCACCACTTTGTTGAGTGGCCCATTCCTCCCGGCCCGGAGCTTGCTGGCTTTATACAGGCATGCTTGGGCCCTATTTGCCTACCAATGCGCGCTGTTTTTTGCTTCAGCCCGTCACACTAACACAATCCCTAGAGTGGCCAAGTCAACAACCCCCCTCCATGAATTGAGTTTAAGCTAACGAAATGGCAGACATTAGCTCAAAGGAGCCTGCATAGGCTTTACACAACCTCAAAACGGAAATGCTAGTGTTGGCTGATCCTGAAAAAATGGACCAGCCATCCCACATTTTTTTGTTTGTACCAGCGCGCTCCGAGGCGCGCTGGCACAAAATGATGCGAGGAATTTTTCCTCGCAAGGCAAACATTCCTCGCCATTCCGCACCCGAGGAAACCCGAATCCGCGTTTCCTCGGCGAGGCGAGGCGAGGCGAGGAATTTTGCCGAGTTTAAATCCTCGAATACCCAAATTCCGAGGCGAGGAATTCCTCGCCTCGTTGCTCATGTCTAGCAGCGTGCTCACCTTGCTGCCCCTCTGCCCCTGTGCGCTAACCACCCTCACTTCCCCTCTCCCTCCGATCAGTAACCCCCCTTGCTGCCCCTCTCGCCCTGTGCACTAACCACCCTGCCTTCCCCTCTCACCCCATGCACCAACCCACCTTGCTGACCCTCTCTCCCTGTGCGCTAACCACCCTGACTTCCCCTCTCGCCCCGGTGCACTAACCCACCTTGCTGCCCCTCTGTCTTTGTCCCGCTAACCACCCTGCTTTCCCCTCTCACCCCGGTCAGTAACCCCCCTTGCTGCCCCTCTTGCTCTGTGCACTAACCACCCCGCGTTCCCCTCTCACCCCATGCACCAACCCACCTTGCTGACCCTCTCTCCCTCTGCACTAACCACCCTGACTTCCCCTCTCCCTCCGGTGCACTAACCCACCTTGGTGCCTCTCTGTCCATGTGCGCTAGCCACCGTGCCTTCCCCTCTCACCCCATGCTGTAACCCCCCTTGCTGCCCCTCTGGCCCTATGCACTAACCACCCTGCCTTCTCCTCTCCTCCCGGTGCACTAACCCACCTTGCTGCCCCTCTCTCCCTGTGCGCTAACCACCCTCACTTCCCCTCTCCCTCCGGTCAGTAACCCCCCTTCTGCCCCTCTCGCCCTGTGCACTAACCATCCTGCCTTCCCCTCTCACCCCATGCACCAACCCACCTTGCTGACCATCTCTCCCTGTGCGCTAACTCACCCTGAATTCCCCTCTCCCCCCGGTGCAGTAACCCACCTTGCTGCCCCTCTGTCCCTGTGCAGTAACCATCCTGCCTTCCCCTCTCACCCCATGCACCAACCCACCTTGCTGACCCTCTCTCCTTGTGTGCTAACCACCCTGACTTCCCCTGTCCCCCCGGTGCACTAACCCATCTTGCTACCCCTCTCCTCCCGTGCATTAACCATGCTGCCTTCCCCTCTCAACCCATGCACAAACCCACCTTGCTGCCCCCCTGTCCCGTTGTCACATGATCGAATGTGTCGAGGAAAAGTTGCACTATCGATTGATACAAGGTGCTTCTATACTTCCGAGGTAAATCAGGTAACGAGGTTTATCCTATCCAAAGGGAATAGACCCTTCTAGAAATAGAATCACCTTGCGTATAGCCATGCAAGGCTATTGGCTTTAAGGGACTATGGCAAGATTAAGCTAGATATAGCGCGCCAGTACATCCCAAGCCTGGTCGGTGATATAATTATAATAATGGGATAACCCAAAGGATAATTAGAAAGGAGGAATAGGAAACCAAATGGGATGAGATGAAGATCAAAAGAATCAGGATAAAAAAGAAGAATGAGATAGAGGAAATATATGGAAATGAGAAAGAAGTGTAACGGGGTCGTACGTTCACACTTCCCCCCCTCAAAGCTGGGTGGTAGAAGTAACATCCTCATTGACAAGGTAGTCACGAAGAGGACCCATCTCAGATTCAGGAACCTAACTATACGTAGAAGGATCATAACCCTTCCAACAAATGAGAAGCTCCACCGTGCTACAAGTGTCCCGCGTATAGGACATCGTGGTATTCTTCGAATAGTAACTAACACAAAGGAGGATAATTGGATACCCAGATTTTTGTTGATCCCTTCCGGTACGCGATGCCACTGTCCCACTGTAGCAGTTGTCGCTTTTCTGCCAAAGGAATTTCGGGGTCAACATCGTACCCGTGTGTGAAGATTCCCTTGAGTAGTGGGTCAATCCCTTCGACCTGGATAGCGGCAATATGTGCAGGCCGACTGAGAGCGTCTGCTTTGTTTTGGTGGCCGGGCTTGTACACGATGTCATAGTGGAAGTGCATCTCAGGGAAGTCAATCCACCGGACCTGCCGCCTGAAGAGTTTTGGTTGAATCTTCAAATATTTCAGGCTGCAGTGGTCGGTGAAGACAGTTTTTCATCCTTCGAGATAACATCTCCACGTTTTGAAGGCGATGATAATAGCAAGGGCCTCCTTGTCATGTATCGGGTAGTTTAGTTTTGCCTCAGAGGTAGGCGATTGGTTGCACTCCGTTCCCCTGGTCCTGCATCAAGACTTCTCCCACTGCCTGGTCACTAGCGTCAGCTTCGATGACGTAGTCGCGTTCAGGGTCTGGCAAGATGAGCACGGGTGCAGATGTGAGTGCTTGTTTTAGTTGCTCCACGGCTACATGATGTTTTGGTTCCCACTAATAGGCCGTGTTCTTCTTCAACAAATTCGTGAGTGGTGTTGCGATTTTCGTGTAATAAGGGATGAACCTGTTCTAATCGTTAGCGAAGTCTAGGAACTGCTACAACTCCTTCACGTTCTCGGGTGTCTTCCACGTGTGTACGGCTTCGATCTTCTTGAGTTCGACGTGAACTCCTTGAGCGCTCACCATGTGTCCTAGGAATTGGACTTTCTCGAGCGTGAATTCGTTCTTGGATAATTTGACATAGAATTGTTCTTGTTGAAGAATGTCGAAGACGCGTCGCAGGTGTTGGACGTGCTGCTGCATGTCGCGCGAGTAGATGAGGATGTCGTCCAGGTACACCATCATGCTTTCGTCCAAGAGTGGGCATAGAATGTAGTTCATTTCGGCTTGGAACATTGCCAGTGCGTTGGTGAGTCCGAACGGCATTCCCAAATACTCGTACGACCCGTACCGAGTTCAGAAGGCATTTTTGTGGATGGAATTGTCCACCATTCGTATCTGCCAGTATCCAGACCGCATATCCAGTTTGTAAAATACTGCGAATCCCCGAAGCTGGTCAAGCAGGTCATCGATTCGTGGAATTAGGTATTTGTTCTTGATGGACTGCTTGTTGAGAGCTCGGAAACCGATGCACAAGCGCAGGCTTCCGACTGGTTTCGGTGTGAAGAGTACTGGGGCACCGTATGGCGAAGTGGATGGTCGGATGAGTCCTTTTGCGAGGAGATACTCGATCTGTTTCTTCATATCCGCTAGCTCCGTGGGGCTCGGACGATATGGTGCTCAGAAGGTTGGCTTCGAACCAAGTTCTTCCACTATCTCGTGTTGGTGCGTTCGGTATTGTGGCAGCTTGTTCAGAATGTCGTTGGGAAGAATGTCTTGGAACTCCTTAAGTAATTCCTTGATTTTTTGTTGAGGTTTCAAGGTTTTCTCTCCGTCATTTTCCATATCTGTCGCTATCGCCACAAATCAGGTGTCGGTTTGCTTTACGTGCTTTTCGAATCTTGCGAGTGTCTCCACTGGGATATCTCCTGTATCGTCCCAGTTGGGTAGCTGGACTCTCCTTCCGTTGTTGTAGATGCTGTTAGAAATAGATTGCAAATCCTACTTTTGTATTGGTATTTTTATATCCTAGTTTAGGTTAGGAATGTTCTAGTGGGTTGGGGTGTACTCACAAAATCCCAACCTCACCCAATTGTGATCCCCCCAATCTCCAATTACCCAATTGGAGATTCCGGGACCCCAATGGGGATTCCCTCCGATTCTCCCTTCATCCATTCTCCCTTACCTTGCCATGTACTTATAGAGCCTTGGGCTCCTTACCTGATCAATCATTTCAGCTCTAATTCTTACATGGTATCAAAGTGACCTATCCGCATACGCGGATCAAGGTCCTAATCTTAACGTGTCTACGCTACGCGCACCTCATCGTCGCGACATTCATCTCGAGTCATCGGAATTTTCAACGTGCTCCACTTTGCAGTCACGCCTCTCATCGTCGACCGCCTTCGCGCTCGACCTCTTTGAATTTCTCATCTCTCAAGCTTTCACGCTTCTCATCGTCGATTTCCTCCTCGGTTCTCCTCGGTCGAATCTCAATTTCAAGCATCTCTTAAAACTCGTTTTCGAGTTTCCTCTCGGACCGCGCCAGTATAGGCGAACTCCCCTCGCGGAATCGCTTCCACAAACGTCTCGCGTCAAGCAAGAGTAGGTACACAAGCGGAAGCGGAGCAGAGCTGGTTGCGGAGCTGGTTGCGGAGCTGGTTGCGGGGCTGTGTAGCTGCGGGACAGGGCCTCAGGGGTGTGTGGGGGGGTGTGTGGGTCCGGGGTTAGACTTAGGCTCAGATTTAGTTTCAAGTCGGTGTTTAAACAAATTCCCGCCGACGCCATTTCCTTCTTAGCGGCATTTCGGCGAAGCCGTACGAGTGATTTTCAGCAATTCTCGTCGACCTATTTCCAGAATTGCTGCGCTGCGTACCGCGGTTCTTATCGGTGACTTAAAGAGCGTCGCCTCGCGAAAATCAAACGGGAATGGCTTACTCAACCACTTCACTCGCCAACCCGATCCTGCTCCTTCGTCTCGACCCAAACAATACATGCTCCAACTACAAGGCTTGGCGCTATGGTG